TGGACAGCGCTGCGCTCCGCGGCCACCACGCGCCTCTTTCGGGTCAGTGCAGCTAGGGACCCGGACATGGGAGCCCCGGGCTGGGGGACCCCGGGCCACCGCGCGCCTCTTTCTGTCTCTGCGAGCTGGGTCACAGAACGTGGGGGGGTCTCGGGCTGTAGGAGCTTTGGACGCGGAGTCCTGGGCCGCCTTGTGCCCCTTTCTTGTTAGTTCGGGATGAGGGTGGGTATGGATGCGGGGGTGTGGCCCGGCGGGGGGAAACCCACGACTTTGGGTCCCCGAAAGGGGTCGGGTGTTCGTGATGTGGGGGAACCAGAGCACAACCCATTCCGGTTGGTGCGGGACAGGGGAGCCCGTGTACAGCCAGGAAAGACTCGGCCACAGGAGCGGTTTGCTCCTGGAACCTCCGGACCATGCTGGGGGAGGGGGGCTCGGAGTCCAAGCTGGAGCGGGGGTCCGGGGTCCACGCAGCTGGCAGGGCTCCCTTGCCCGCTGCTACAGGGTAGGGGCAGAGCGGCCCTGTCTGCCTCGCGCCTCCCTGGAGTCAGCGCCCACCTCCAGGGAGGCAAAGACCTGGGCTCATCTGCCACGTTGGTGGTCGCAGCCTTGGGGAGGTGTCAGGGCCTGGGTCTGCGTCCAAGGGGCCTTGACGGAAATGCTCAGGTTTCAGCGAGCCTGGAGAGGCCACCGCCCTGGCTGGAAAGTGACCATGAGGTGACATTGGTGCCTGGCCTTGAGGAGGGGTCTGCTTTGGTAGCTGCTGGGGAAGGTGTCTGGGCCCCTAGCTCGGCTGTGACTCCCTCCTGGACCAGCTGGAGTCAATGCCCCCCAGTCTGGCTGGACGTGGCAGGGGTGCAGGGACAGAGTGCCCAGCACCAACAAAGGGGCCTTTCTCTGCTGGCCGGGAAGAGGCTGGCTCTTGTTAAGTCTGGATAGGGTGTTGTCTGGCTGCCATTGTCTGCACCCCACATCACCCACGTGGGGGAGAGACCCTGGCTGTCACCCTGCTCAGGGAGGCAGAGGCAGGTATGATAAGTCCCCTCCATAGTTAGCCCTGGTCCCAATTGGGCTTTATTGCTCCCCCACCTTCCCAATTTCCAGCTGGGGAAGTGGGAGGAGCTGGAGGATGAGGGCCAGTACTCAAGAGGGGATGTGGTCGACCAAGGCAGAATGGGCTCCCTCCCCAAGTTCCTGAGGGAATTGTTCCTGAGGGAGCTGGTCATGTCTCCCCTGACTTTTGGAATCCCTGAAAGTCAGGCTCCCTCCTTGGGCCCTCCCTCCCCGGCTTCTCGCCCCAATTCGAGGCTCGCCCTTCCCAAGAATAGGCGGAGGGGCTGTGTTGTCCTCCAGATCTCATCTTCTTGGCAGCAGCCTGGTTGCCAGGGGTTACCAGAGCTGGCTCCCGCTGTCTCTATGACAACTGGAGGTGCTCCAGCCCCCTCAGACTCTGGGAAGCCGGCGGGGTTTGGCCCAGCAGCTCTAGAGCCCCGCCCCACCCAGGACCCCAGAGTCGAATTCCTCTACACCTCACCACTGCATGCCCCCCTTCCCTTATGTCTTCCCTGATGTCCCCTCAGGTCACCCCATCTCACTGTACTGTCCTTTCCCTGCCCCATTATCTCTTTTGGACAAAAGAGAATGTCCTCATGGCTTCCCCCAACACCCACTTTATCTTCCCCAACCCCCTGTTCCTCTCTGGTCTCCCCAAATTCCTCCTCTGAGGCACTCTTTCCCTCACATTTCTGCCACATGAGGATCTCTTGGGGTCCCAGCCCTCCAAGTTTCCCCAGGTGTTCCCATATTACCTTCCATGTTCTCGTCACACGTTCGCTGCTACAGCCCCCTCCATGTCTTTTTAATCCCCTACTGTTTGGCATACCCCCAGCTCCCCATGACCCCCAAGCTGCTTGACTCCCTGTCCAGACCCCGTTGACCTCCCCTGCTTTATGCTCACATGTCCCCCTCCTCCCCTCACAGCCTACCCTCACATTTCCCTCAGGTCCCCCACTCACTCCCCTCTGCACACCTCAGCCAGACAGCTGGGCACTAAGTTTAGCCCTTGGCAGGCACACGTGGGCTCTGGTTACTCCAGGCGGCTGTGGGTCCCAGACGGCTCCTCCCCAACACTGCCCAGCTTGAGGAATCCCTGGACCTTGGTCTCCCCACCCTGAAGGAATGGCTACCAGCTCTGATGGCCACCCGTCTTCTCACCCACAGCCCCTGGCCAAGCGGTGCCGCCTCCAGCCTAGAGATGCCGCCAAGATGCCTGAGAGCGCATGGAAGTTCCTCTTCTATCTGGGCACCTGGAGCTACAGTGCCTACCTGCTCTTTGGCACTGACTACCCCTTCTTTCATGACCCACCCTCTGTCTTCTATGGTGGGTCCTTGGTGGGGTGAGGGGTGATTCTGCTCTAAACACTGAGGAGAAGGGTACATGGGAGAGCCTGTACTTGTCAGCCATCCCATGCTGGATGTCTGCCCCAGACAAGCATGATCAAGGGTCCCTGGGGACATGAAAGGGGGTACCTGACCCAATTAGGGTTCAGGGAGACATCTTAGAGGAGGTGACCCCTTGTGTGGTTCCAGGGGGGGGGGGCTCCAGGTTTCAGGAACAGTACATGCAAAGACCCTGGGGTGTGCACAAGCTTGGTGCATGAGAGAGAAGGGTGGCAGAAATTTGAGTGTTATTCTAAACAGGATGGTTTATGGATTTTAAAAAGCTTCCTCTGGCCCTAACTGGTTTGGCTCAGTGGTTAGGGCATCTGTCCTTTGACTGAAGGGTCCTGGGTTTGATTCCAGCCGAGGGCACATACCTTGGTTGCAGGCTCAATCCCCACCCTTTGCTGGAGGCAACCAGTTGATGTGTCTCTCTCACATCAATGTTTCTCTCTCTCTTCTCCCTTCCATTCTCTCTGAAAAGCAATGGAAAATATCCTTGGGTGAAGATAAAAAACATAAAAAGCTTCCTCTGGCTGCCACATGGAGACAGCAGTCTCTTTTTTTTTAGAGAGAGAGGAAGGGGAAAGAGAGAGAGCGAGGCATCGATTTGTTGTTCCACTTATTTGTGCATTCATTGGTTGATTATTGTATGCACCCTGACCAGGGGATCAAACCTGCAACCTTGGTGTATCAGGATGATGCTCTAACCAGTTGAGCTCCCCGGCCAGGGCTGAGACAGTAAAGTCTTGGGTAGCAGGGTCCAGGGAGGAGGTGAGGGACCAGTGTGGTTTGGACCAGCTTGGCAAAGAGATAAAGATGGGGAGAAGTGGCTGCATCCATGGATTGGGTTAGATGTGAGGGTGGTCAAGGCCTGAGCTCTGGGTAGAAAGGGCAGGAGGGTGACTGCACTGTCCTCTATTACCAGCAGGCAGGCCAGTATAGGAATCTCGGCCTGTGATGGGGGATGGGAGGTCAGGGTCTTCTGTTCCTGTGCTGACCACCAGGCCATGTATCATGGACATGCTTCCTGCCATGTGACATAAACAGCCTGAGAGGGCTCCTGGTGGTGCCGTAGGAGGGCTGGGCATGGAGCCTCTGCATTGCAGGGTCCTGGTAACAAGCACTGGGTTTACTGGGCACCCAGATGTCTTCATGGGATTGTGCTACCCACATGGCCATTTTCCCATGCCCATTCCCCACGTGGTAAATTTCTAGAGGAGAAGTTTTAGCTGTCAGTCAATTTTCCTGTATGCAAATAAACCATAATTGAACTCTCTTAAAATTTCAGGCATGGAGTTGCCTCTGCCATCTTATAAATCATGCTAAGATACCATGCTTCTTTGCATGCTCATTTTTTGAGTACCAACTGTGTACCAGGTTGTGAGCAGGTCAGAGAAAGCCTCCAACAGACAGTGAAATACAAAATCTGTTAACAGTGAAAAGTGCTGATGGGAAAACTTTGGGGAGGGAGAGGAAGGAGTACGGGGTGTCTGTGAAGGAGGAGGGGGCATTTTCTACAACAATGCGGATGGCTCCACTAAAAGTGACTTTTGAGTGAGGACCTGGAGGAGCCTGAAGTAGATAGGAAACACATTCCTGGTGGATCAGGAGCAGAGAGAAGCTCACCTGGCCAGGGCGGGGGGTGAGGAGGGCAGGTGAGTGGCAAGGGTATATACCAGGGGCCTGTGAGGAGAGGAGGGGGGTCCAACCAGGACAGGGCTGAGCAAAGGAAAGAAGTTGTTGATTTGAGAAATGTTTTGAAGGCAGAGCTGATAGGATTTGCCACCAAACCAGAGGTGGGTATGAGAGAGGAGGGTCTGGGCCCCCTCAGTGAAATGGGGGG